AAGACAACTGTAGTTGGGGAAAAATATTGCCAGGCACCCCCAAACACACACACACACATACACACATACAAAATCCTGGCAAGGACAAGAAACACAACCAGACCAGGCCTGAAAAGCAGATAAGAGAGGCAAGGATATCAACACCCCAGAGCAGTCAGGGAAAAGTGACATGATTATGGGGCGAGGTGGCTATGAGAAGCAAAGTGAACAGGGAAGACCAGAGGGTGTAAACCCATCTGATTAGCTCCAGCACCCTAGGACATGACCCCTAGTAACATCAGATATCCTGTCACCTGAGGTTGCCCATCGACCATACACAATCGAGGAAAGAGGAAGAAGAGAGTGGCAACAGAAGGCAAGGCTAGCCAGAGGTTGACCACTGGCCCAGCTGGGCTTCCCCATCCTGAGAGGGCCTACCCAGCTCCACCTTCTCAGAAAGGAGTACCCTTTCTTCTCAGTGCCAAGACACAGGGACCCGCGCCCCTGTACCCCGTGTCTCACCTGGTAGGGGTCACTATGGTGCCCCAGCGCCTCCGCTTCTGCCTGGGGTCCTCCAGCGGCTCTGCCAAGCAGGGAGAGGGGCAAGGAGACCTTTCCCCTTGCCACCTCTTCCTCGACTTTCGCCCTTCTTGAGGGGCGGGCCCAGGAAGCCTCCCCTGGAGGGGAGGGGGTGACAACCTGATCTGACCTCTCTGTCCAGTCCTGCCCCTCCTCGAAGGAGACAGTTGTCGAATCCCGGATTTCTGATTGTGAGGTCTGAACCCCGTATATATGAACAGGAAGAAACAGACCCCGATATTTAAATGCCTGGGCAATGAACCCCGGATACTGGTGCACGCAGGGTTCTGAATCCCAGATACAAGAAATTCTATGAAACAGAAACCCAGGTTTAAAGAGGCTGGGACCCCAGTCCTGGATATCTGGAATATGAAGGCTGATACCTGGGTATCTGAGAGGCGAGGGGCAAAGCCAGGAAATTTGGGACCCAGGGGCCTGAGCCCCAGGTCTTCGGCCACCGACAGGGGGCCCACCCTGAGGACGTCCGGCTGCACTGCCCCTCTCACGCCGGGGTCTGAGGGTGACAGCCCCCACTCCCGCCCTGGCCTCCTCCCTTTCTCCTTCTCTCTTCCAAGAATAGCTGAAAGACTGTAGCTAAGGCGCTACTAACGGTCCCCGCGCCCTCTCTCCCTCTCCTTCCCTCGGTCTCAGCTTCTCTCTGCACCACAGCCCTGGTCTCGTCCCGGTCTCCCTCTCCCTCTTCCTCCCAATTCCAAGATGGAGACCGAGCGGGAGCGCGCAGGCGCGGTAGGGAAGCCGGGCCAAAGGGGGCGGGACCCTAAAAGGAAACAGCCCCGCCTTCTCTCCTTATTGCCGCGGCCCGGGGGACAGGCCGCTACCGAGTCCGTGTGCGCGCGCGCCCCGCCACGCGGACCCTCGGTGGGAAAAGGCGGGGACAAGGGCTAGGCTTGCAGGGGGAGGAGCCCAGCATGCGGCCCAACGACTGGCAAAGGAAAGAACTGTGGCGCATGCGCTGGCCCCGCCTTCGCTGTGGACTCGAGCTTGTTGCTAGGGGAAGCTTTGAGGGGGCGCCGGAGGAAGGAAAGAAGCGGCGAGCGGCGAGATCTGCGCCTGCGTGTAGGGTAGACGTTGGGAGGGGTAAGGGAAGGCTGCTGCTGGGCGCAGAAAAGGCGGGAAAATGGACAGTTAAGAGATTAGTAACATTCAGTCTGGATATGGGCCCCCAAATGCGGGGACCGTTTTTGCACGTCAATGTTGATAAGACTCAATGGGTCAAGTCCCTTCAGAAAACTGAGGCCCTGCAGAGTTACAGGACTTGCCCAAGGTCAGAGTACGTTTATGTCAAAGCATTTCCATGACCTGACAGCCTCCCTCTCAACTAGCTGGAATTATCACTTTTATTTTATAAAAGAAAACAAAACACAGTGTGGCACAAGTGTTTTCCAAAGTCAAGTTAACCATGGTGAGCACTGAAGTAACCTATCCCCTATGCCAAACCAGACTCAACAAAGAACAGTCCCCCCAACCTCCCAAGCTTGTCTACCCTAAAATGCCCACCTTGATTTAATCCCCAATAAACACCTTAGGCAACACGGGGCAAAATAGCCGTTTATTTCTCCCTCATTCCAGCTCTTCACTGTAACATCTCTTCCAACAAGACCCAAGAAGTTGATTTAAACCTGAGGAGAAAGAAAATAAAAAACAGGACAAATAAGAGACCCAGGCAGAGTGCAAGGGTACATGCAGAAACTGACAAAGGAGCACAGGGAATGGTAACTAGAAGACAGGCACAGGCACTTAATCCCAAGGGGTAGCCTAGGCCTGCAGGATCTGCCAGGGGCCAGGAAGCCTTCCATTCCCAGTCCCAGGCTGAAAGAGCTCCATCACTTCTGTCCCAAGTAGGTGGTTGGGATGTTCCAAAGCAAAATAAGTGAAGTTGATCTTGAGCTTCCAGTTCCTCTGGCAGGAGCAGTTCCCTGAGCCTGGACTATTTCCACTTCTCCCATGGTAGTTTAAAGGACACAGAAACCACATGGTGAAGACTTTTTGCAGAAATATTTTTTCCCTTAATGAGCTGACATATGAACTAGTTAGCCAATATGTCCCCCACCCACTGCTACCTTTATGAAGCTGATTCTCTCCAAAGATCTTGTTAGCTGAATCAACTTTTCCTAAATGCAGCGATGACTAAATGGAAGAGAGAAGGTGAGTGTAAAGTTCTTGGGCACATACTACTACGTGCCTAGTAAGTGGGCATCATCAGTTAAGATTCTTTTGAACTGTTCAAGTTGAATTTTATAAAATTTGCATCATAAAACCAGATATTACAATTTTAGAACAAAAGCCAAACAAACATAATTCAGATCCAGGAAGAATCCTTAAACTTGAACTCTCTTAACTCACCACTGTTGCCTAAAAGCTTAGATGTGAACTATAGCTATAAGTGAATTTTAAAATCAGAATGTTCCTTGAAACAAATCAGTTACAAAAGAATATGTATGTGTCTACCTATATATAAAGTTCAAAAATAAGTAAAACCAAGCTATATTATTTAGGAATGCATACTTGGTGATATTCTATAAAGCAAGATCATAGTTCTAGCGGAAGGAAGGGTATTGTCAAGAAAGGGACCATAGGGGCTTCTGGGTTACTGATAATAGTATACTTTTTCCCTGAGTGGTATTTTAAGTATCCACTTTATATTAATTTGTCTAACTGTGCTTTTTGGACTTTTCCATATCAGTGTTAAACATATCATAATAAAAAAGTAAAATTAGTAGGAAAAATATTGAGTGAGGCAAAGGGAGGTAGCTCACACCTTTAACCCTCATACTCTGGGAGGTGGAGGTGGGTGGATTGCCTGAGCTCAGACCTGAGAAAGAGTGAGACTCCTATCTCTGCTAAAAATGGAAAACTGAGACAAGAGGATCACTTGAGCCCAAGAGTTTGAGATTGCTATGAGCTATGATGCCACAGCCCTCTACTGACAGCAAAAAAGTGAGACTCTGTCTCAGCGAATAAATAAATAAAATAAAATAAATAAAAATAGCTGAGCATTGTGGCAGGTGCCTATAGTCCCAGCTACTTGAGAGGCTGAGGCAAGATGATCACTTGAGCATGAAGGTTTGAGGTTGCTGTGAGCTGTGATGCCATGGCTTTCTACCCAGGGTTGACAGAGTGAGACTCTGTCTCAAAAAAACAAACAAGCTTGGCGCCCGTAGCACAGTGGTTACGGCCCCAGCCACATACACCAAGGCTGGTGGGTTCGAACCCAGCCTGGGCCAGCTAAACAACAATGACAACTGCAACAAAAGAAAAATAGCCAGGCATTGTGGTGGGTACCTGTAGTCTCAGCTACTCAGAAGGCTAAGGCAAGAGAATTGCTTAAGCCTAAGAGTCAGAAGTTGCTGTGAGCATGACGCCATAGCACTCAACTGAGGGTAACATAGTCAGACTCTCTCTCTCAAAAACAAACAAACAAACAAAAACACTGAGTGCTGATGGTGTAAGTTGTTCTCAGTCCCTACAAGATTAGCTATAGGTGAAGACTGTTCTTAGGGACTCAGAATAAGCAATATTTGAGGGCGGATTCCAAGGATCTGCTCTATTCCAGTTACAGCTGCTGCCCCCACCGCAGTCCCTGCTCCCACAGGACTGGAACAAAGACTCTCACCTGAGAACAAGGCAAGAAGTAGGCCAGTGCCCTCAGAGTCGGGTTCTGGACCAGTGGGACTCCCGACGTGGGTGGAAACACATAGCAGTGCCACAGCAGAGAAGGCCACAGAAGAATAGCAGAAAGGAGCCTAAGACCAGCAGTCTGGAGCCACACAGAGCTAGCTCCTCCTAGAGGTGGGCACAGGGAGGGAAGGAGAAATGATTAGAGAGAGGGTGAGTGAGGAATCTTCCCTTGGGAAGACATCTTAACCCCAGCCAAGGGTTACAGAGAGACACCTCTATGAGGGAGACAGCTCTCCAATTCTAGGGAGCAACTAAAGAAAAATTGTCATTTTCATACAAGGTAACATTTGTCTTGATGGTTTGCAAACAGTTTTTCTTTCTTTTTTTTTTTTTTTTTTTTTTGCAGTTTTTGGCTGGGGCCGAGTTTGAACCTGCCACCTCTGGTATATGGGGCTGGCACACCGCTCCTTTGAGCCACAGGAGCTGCCCTGCAAACTGTTTTCTTGCCCAACTATCATCCTGAACCCCTATAACACCTCTAGGAGATAGGAAAATCTCAGCTAATCTCCTCTACCCATTGCCAGTGGAGTGCTTTTCTTTCCTCCTTGGGATCCCGCAGTGGCTCCCACTGCCTTCAGTGTTAAGTCACAGCAACCTGACTTGGGATTCACAGTGCCTCCCTGTCAGGCCCTGCAGTCGCTCCTGCCTCTTCTCCTACATCATTCCTAAACCTCTCATCATCGAGTGCCCCACTTGACCTGTGCTCATGCTGGTCCCTTTGCCTGGAATGCATTTCCCTCTCCTGAACCTCTACTGCACTCCCTGCCTAAATTTTCCCTTTCACCTGGACAGGACGAAAGGTATAGATTGCAATCCTGGCTCTGCCACTTAACCAGCTGTGTGGCCTTAGGCAATCCACTCCCTCTCTCTAAACCTGTTTCCTCATCTGTAAAATGGGATAATAACACCTACCTCAAAAGGCTATTTTAAGATCAAGTGAGTTAATGAACCTGAAAGCACTTTGTACATTATAAACTACAGTGCACAATTCTTTCTTAGATACCTCCTTCTCTGTGAAGTGCTCTCCATAAATGTTCAAGTTAGGGTTAATTGCTCCTTACTTTGTGTTTGTCTAACACTCTGCTCACATCTCTGTGATAGCAATTAGCCCATTCTGCCTCTTATCACAGCTTCTGAATTCCTTTGAGGTAGAGATCATGTTTTATCATATTTAAAGACAATAGCAAACAATAACAGCTGTCATTTATCAAATCTCTATCATCAAGTACCAGGCATTTGTGATGGGCATTTACAATCATTCTCACTTAATCCTTATTTGTTGGAATTACAAGATAGTATCAGGTTTTCTGTTTTACAGATGAGGAAGCCCATGCGCAGAGAGGTTCAGATGCCTACTTGAGGTCACACAGCCTCCAAGGCAGGGTTATAAAGCCTGTGCTTTTTCTACTAGGTAAAATTGCCTCCAGGAACCTTCTAGACACAGTAGTTAGCATGACAGTCTATGAAACCCTGACAGACAGACCTGAGGCTCTTACCGAGGTGAGCAGCTTGGTGAGCACAAGGTCTTCACGACTCCAGACCCTGACACACTCCTCACCCATCCTAGGGCTTAGGGTAGCATTTCCTGCTCCTTCCTCTGAGCAGGATATGGGTGGCTGGCTGGAGGGCAAGATTCCTGGAACAGCACTAAAATACAGGCAGATGCCTGGGGTCCTTTCTGTGGTCACTCTGGCTGTGATAAGGATCTGCTGTTCTGCAGAAGGTCCTGTGACAGGCATAGGAGAGGAGATGGAGGAAAATTAGAGGTGGGGCAGGGGCCTCCATCTTCGGGCTTCATTTCTAAGGCTTCCTATAATACCAGGTATTCTGGCATTGATTCTGTTGAATGAAGTACTCCATATACTATCATCTTTATCACTGAGAAAATAACTACGTATCAATAACAAAGTTAACTTAAATTTTCTTACAATCAATACACACTGTGGATATCAGTCTGTATAAACTGGTTTGTTCTTTTTTTTTTTTTTTTGAGACAGAGCCTCAAGCTGTCGCCATGGGTGGAAAGCCATGGCATCACAGCTCACAGCAACCTCCAACTCCTGGGCTCAAGCGAGTCTCCTGCCTCTACCTCCTAAGTAGCTGGGATTACAGGCCCCCACCACAATGCCCGGCTATTTTTTGGTTGCAGCCGTCATTGTTGTTTGGTGGGCCCAGGCTGGATTCGAACCCACCAGCTCAGGTGTATGTGGCTGGTGCCTTAGCCACTTGAGCCACAGGTGCCAATATTTTCTACTTTTAAAGTGAGGAAGGCCTTCGTAAGAAAGACACAAAAACCTAAAAGCCACGTAAAAGACAAGAGCGAAAAACCCAACTTCATGAAGAGTAAAGACTTCTATACAATGAAACATAAATTAAAAAAACAAGTAACAGATTGGTTGAAAATATCTATAACATGGCTGGGAACCTATAGCACAGTGGTTACGGTGCCAGCTACATACACCAAGGCTGGTGGGTTCGAACCTGGCCCAGGCCAGCTAAACAACAATGACAACTGCTACTTGGGAGGCTGAGGCAAGAAAACCGCTTAAGACCAAGAGTTGGACGTTGCTGTGAGCTGTGATGTCACAGCACTCAACTGAGGGCAACATAGTGAGACTCTCAAAAAAAAAAAACCCTATAATATATTTAATTGACAAAAAGATTTACTATCTAGAACACAAACCTCCAACAAATCAAGAACAAGACAACTTAAAAAATGACCAAAGGTGGCTCGGCGCCTATAGCTCATC